AAGGAGGACCCAAATCCTACAGGAGAAGAGCAATGCGTTGCTCGGACCAACAAGGTTGAAGTCCCAGAAACTGACACAGGCCTGCCTGAGGGTCTTGTAGGCCCTGTCATTTATTCACACAGTCAAAGTCAATGATGTGGCCTGTGATGCTCTTATTGATAGTGGGTCTAACGTGACTATTATCTTTGAAAGCTGGTATAACCAACACTTAGCAGATGTCCCCATAAAACCCCTCTCTCTCGCTTGGGACTCTGGGGACTTGCTGACACAGAGTATCCCTACAAAGGCTATGTTGTTGTAGAGATGGAGTTTACCAAGGAGATCACTGGTGTTCCAGCGAGTAGAACTCACTTCACAACTTGGAATAGAGACTAGACTGGGGCTCACAAGCAATCATTCATCTATATATACCGATAAGAAAATCACTGGGTTAATTCCACAGCTGACATTATTTTATAACATTGTCCTAGAAGTCTGTCACTCTTTGTGAAGATAACGATTCTTTAAACAGATGAGGATGAATGACAAATGGCGAATGAGCGCTTCTGTTAATTTTCCAAATAAAAAAAGGTATTAACATGAACACTATGAACTGTACTTGGAAAAAGGCTGATTAGTGAAATCTGATTTAGTAAAAGCAGCAGTGAATTTAAAATCTAGGGAATGAAAGTGAGTGTTTGATGTTAACATACTGATCAAAGTAAAGTGCTCCAATGTGCCAACATGAGTAATTTCCCAAAGTGCTTCTTACGAGAAAGAATAGTGGTTAATTTATTTTGTACGTGAACCCACTGCTCTGCGAGTATACTATACCCTGAATCTAAGTGTTAGGTGGGCAACGTGTGAACCAAAATGGGCTACTTACAATCCCTGGGGTTTTGGGACTCTCTGCGGGATTGTGGGTAAAGCTGCCACTGTGACTAGTGGAGACTGTGTGTGACTTCTTGTTACTGAGGCCCATGGCGTCCATAGATTGGCTTCTGCTGCGGATGACCCGCTACAGAGAGAAATGAGGAGATGCTGTCAGTGGATCCACGTTAATATGTGGAAACACAACACCCTGATGAATAGTGCAAAGCATTATATACTTCAAATGATTGTGAATCTATACTGAAATCTAATCTAAATTAAAATAATTATGTGTTTTCTATTTTTTTTATTTTGCTAGAGCAGACCACTCTATGTATTATGCATTCTAAAACCTTTAGTGGAAATCAGTGGAATGATTTAACTGACATGTACTTCTTCAACTATATTCCACATAGTGCCAACTGAGATTTGTTCCACCTGGTCCACTGTTTCTCTTTAATTTCATATCAATATGATTCTTTGAGCTACATGCTATACATTACATAAATGTACATCACAGTAAGTGTGATATAAAGCTAAGGGATAAAATGTGTTTATATGGGCATGTATGTGTGCATTGGTGTGCTTAAATGTGCATATGCAAGTGTATGGATGTATGCATGATTATTTATTGAACACTTAGGGGCAGTGCGGGATAGCATGTAGAGGGAGAGCCTGTGTGGAGGACATGTAGGTTCACAGAGGATTTAAAAGAGTGTAGGCTCTGTGTGGAGGACATGTAGGTTCACAGAGGATTTAAAAGAGTGTAGGCTTTGCAGGCATTAAGGATGGAAATTGTCACTTAACACGGTGAGTCTGGAGTTGGGTTTTGTGTCATGAGCAAAAAAGACCAAGACTATTATGAGAGAAAGAAGAGGGAGTAGAACAGTATATAGAGAGCCAGAAAAAAGACCAAGCGGCAAGATCATTCTCGACAGTGAGAAAGAAAAATGAGGTAGGATTTCTTGGGTGGGAGCTCATCTGTGCTCATCTATATAAGTTTATGAATGTATGGAAGAAAGACAGACAGACATTAGCAAACAGCAGAGCAAGAGAGGATGAAAGAAAGGCTTTATATATATCTCTGAAGTTGCAGAGAAACAGCAGAAAAGATGACCTAGAACTAGTGATCATCACAGAGCAAAGAGCAAAACGGCAAAGGAATGCTGCCCATGAGGAGACATCCAAACTGCACCATCAGCTCCCTAATGAGGGGTCATTAAATCGTTCATCAGGCACACACCATCACAGCTTCTACTGCCGTGCCTCAGCAGCTGAGCTACGCTCCACCACCCTAATGGTCATTGATGGAGCGCTCTCAGTCAGAGCAAAGTGCCTTTCATACACAACAGGACACTCCACAGCCTCAAAACCATACCATCATGTGAGAGCACACTGAGTTCAGCAGTCACAGCCAAGTAAGGAATGCAAATGCCACAGGACTGGTCCTTTGAGATACCGCAGATTTTCAATGCTTTGTTTTTTGATGTGTGAATACCCAGAATCCCAGCCAAGAGACAGAGGACGCACAAAATAAAGCACCTTAAAAGTTTCTCCACTCATCACTATTCTCTCTCATGCATGTAGAGTTGCAGATTACCAAGGCACTCCATCAAATGAGGAATGACAGTTTACCTTGAATGATTCAAAGAAGCCTCCTCCTCCACCTCCTCCACCCCCATTCTCCAGCTTATCTTCGTCGCCACCCAGACCCATCATGGACTGACTGTTTATGTGCAGCTCCTCATATAGTGTTTCCAAAAGTGCCGAACGAGTTCGCTCCTGACAACAACAAACAAGACAATTCGTTTTCATACCGACCATAAACCTAATATTCACCATTTAAAAGGAGGGATTGAACAATTGCTTCAGGATGATAAACATCAGCAACAATGCTGATAAGAATCAGGGTTGTTGCCTGAGATGATTTGGACAACAATCTATGTTTCCACTTCGTATCAGTACAGCCAGCAGGATGCAGACCTGTGCAAACAGGCGTGTGCTTAAGTCTGCATCAACACTACAGACATTCACACTCCCTTGGCACAATTTGCTCCAGTGTGCTTCTCACCTCTAACTTGGCAAACTTCTCAGCCTTGTAGCAGGCGTATTCTGCATTAATGAGTTTAGTGAAGAGGAACTCATAAAACTCAGGGCCCTGAATAAAACAAATAAAAAGGTGAGAGGTCAGAGTAAAATATTTTTTTTATCTGTGTGGTGAAAAAGGAAAATATGGCGTTAACTGACCTTTTTGAAGATGGCAGGGTCAGGCAAAGCAGGCCCAAAGAAGGGTACATCATCTCTTGCTGTCACAGAAACCTAAAAAAGAAAGCAGGTAAGCCTAGAGACTGAAATACACATGCCACTATTAGAAACTAGAGAGCAGAATAAAATTCCTTAATTATGGATGAGCAAATCTATAAATGGGTGTTACAAGTCCCTATTGTTCAAATCCTCTTGATACAGTATTGACTGTCCTTAGAACCAACCTTGTAGGTGACATTGTCTGTACATGCATTTTCCACCTGCACCACCACATATGCATGCAGGAAGTTGGACTGGATCATGTCTGGTACAAAGGGCGTATTTTCCTCCTGGAACACGATGGCCACAATGTCGTTGCCTATGTGTCTCTTTCTCTGCAGCTGGGGGGCACAGATAAACAAAGCTAACAACAGCGGAAACATCTCAAATGACCACTTCTGCTAACACAAATACAGGCCTGTCAAAAAAAAACATCACTGCCAGCAATTGCTCTAAAAGACTGACTGGCAAGGTAGACATGACTTTAATCCAAAAGAGCACAATCTCTCCCTCTGAAACGCATGACGCCATCAGCCAAAAAATTAAATCCATCTTCAAGCTCTTGTTCCAACAATTTAATAAGATGAAAAATCTCAATATTTTACAGAAAATAAATATATATACAAAAAACATGCAACTCATGGGTGTATATAGCATTTCTGAAAGTACAGACAGAAATCTGCTTTGGGAAACAGATTTTTCACTGTAAGACAGACTTAAGACTGAGTTCGAATTATTTCAGAAAAGTGTGGATATTTTGGTAATTAACACTTCTCAGTATCAGTGGAGGTACTGCAAACTCAAACAGAAAATGCTTTATGAATCTGCTGACGACTGAATGTTATCATGGCTGCAAAATAACTTCATCTTCTTTGCTGCCAAAAGCTTGAAGTTGCCAGAAGGACACTCATGCATCTGGAGGACAAAGGGACTGTTCTCAAGTATTAAAATTTGTATCCAAGCGGTATCTTTCAAAAAGCTCTGCATTAGGGATATCTTCTTCCTTTGCTCAAGCAAGGCAGAAGTTAGCTGAGAGGAGAAATGTCTTCTCAATGCATGAGTGGGATGTTGGCTTGGCTAAAGGGGTTGAACACCACATTCGTCTACATGACCCTAGACCTTTCCGGGAGAGGTCAAGGAGACTAGCCCCAGCCGACATTGATGATGTGAGGCGACACATACAGCAGCTGTTGGCTACTGGAATTATAACAGAGTCCCGTAGCCCCTATGCCTCCCCAATTATTGTTGGGCGGAAAAAGAATGGGGCTATAGGAATCTGTATTGATTACAGAACACTGAACAACCGCACTACACCTGATCAGTATACAATGCCACGCATTGATGATGCCTTGGACTCCTTGTCAGGCAGCCGATGGTTCTCAGTCCTAGATCTGCGTAGTGGCTACTATCAGATAGAAATGGCTGAGGAGGACAAGGAAAAGACGGCATTTATTTGCCCCCTGGGCTTCTATCAATCGCTGTCCCGACAGTATGCCCAAGAGGAAGTTGCGCCACAGTGATCCCTTGTGGCGCATGCCACAAGGGATCACTGGAGCACCTGCAACGTTCCAACGCTTAATGGAAAAGGCTGTTGGGGACATGTACCTTCTGGAGGCCCTTGTGTACTTGGACGATATCATTGTCTTTGGCAGAATGTTTGAAGAGCATGATCAATGCCTCTTCAAGGTGTTGGACAGACTAGAGGAGATTGGTTTGAAAGTCTCCATTGACAAATGCCAATTCTGTCGTCCTCAAGTTAAGTATGTGGGTCACATTGTATCCACCAATGGAATAGCCACTGATCCAGAGAAGGTTGAGGTGGTGAAACACTGGAAAATGCCCACTCACTTGAAACCTCTCAAGTCTTTCCTCGGATTTTGTAGTTACTATCGGAGGTTCATAGCTAACTACTCCGCCATTGTCCGTCCTTTGTCAGAACTCACCAAGGGTTATGCACCCACTTGGAAAGACCCCAAAGCCAAGAAGAGTGTAGACCCAAACCACACCTATTTTAAAGCATCCGAGCCGTTTGGGGAACGATGGACTCCAGCCTGCCAGGCTGCTTTTGAACAGATCCGTGAATGTCTGATCAATGCTCCAGTATTGGCATTCGCTGACCCCACCAAGACATACATTTTGCATGTGGACGCCAACATGAATGGTTTAGGTGCTGTCTTGAACCAAGAACACCCTGAGGGCCTAAGGCCGGTAGCTTTCGCAAGTCGAAAGCTCAAAGACTCAGAACGTAACTATCCAGTTCATCAACTGGAATTCTTGGCGTTAAAGTGGGCCGTCGTGGATAAATTTCACGACTACCTGTATGGTGCCAAATTCATTGTCAGGACTGACAATAATCCCTTAACGTACGTATTGACCTCGGCTAAGCTCAGTGCTGTAGGGCATCGCTGGCTCGCTGCCCTCGCCACGTATGATTTCACCATACAGTACCGCCCTGGGCGCCACAACATTGATGCTGACTTGCTGTCCCGACAGTATGCCCAAGAGGAAGTTGGAGAATGGACTTCCATCCCGCCTGCTGGCATTAAAGCTCTCTGTAAACGAGCCTGCATCAGGGAAGGAGCAGTTGTACCTGACAGATTGGTGGATCAACTTGGTGCTCCTGCCTCTGCAGTACCAGAAGCCTATGCATTTCCTGTGAATCTCAGCGTAAACATCCTCGATCAGCTGAGTCCAAAAGACATTCAAACATCACAAGATATGGACCCTACCATTGGGCCATTGAAGAAAGCCATCAAGAGCAATAAAGAGTTTGCTCGCTCTAAAAGTGACTCGCCAGAGACTGTGATGCTCCTCCGTGAAAGTCGCAAATTGGAGTTGAGTGATGGATTACTCTACAGAGTAAAAGAAAAAATGGGTGGAAAACAAAGCCGGCAGCTTGTCTTGCCAGCAAGATACAGGTCTATGGTGTTAAGGTCTCTGCATGATGAGTGTGGGCACATGGGAGCAGAGCGAACAGCAGAACTGATTAAAGAGAGGTTTTACTGGCCTCGTATGGCAGCTGAGATTGAGCAGTATATTCGCACTTGTGGAAGGTGCATCTCCAGGAAGACGCTCCCTCAGCGTGCCTCGCCCTTGAATCAGATAACAAGGAAAGGGAACTTGGTGCATCTCCAGGAAGACGCTCCCTCAGCGTGCCTCGCCCTTGAATCAGATAACAAGCAATGGCCCTCTAGACTTGGTCTGCATTGATTTCTTACAGATAGAGCCTGATTCTAAAGGTGTTGCAAATGTGTTAGTTGTGACAGATCACTATACACGTTATGCACAGGCATTTCCTACCAAAGATCAAAGAGCCATTACCGTTGCAAAAGTCCTGTGGGAGAAGTACTTCGTGCACTACGGTCTACCTGCACGAATACACTCTGATCAGGGCAGAGACTTTGAGAGTCGACTGATCAAGGAGCTGTTGTCCATGTTGGGGATTCGGAAGTCACGAACGTCTCCCTACCACCCGCAAGGTGATGCGCAACCGGAAAGATTCAACAGAACCCTTCTAGCAATGCTCGGTACCATGGACACTGCAAAGAAACAGTGTTGGAGCCAGCATATCACCCACCTGGTACACGCGTACAATTGTACAAGGAGTGATGCGACGGGGTACTCACCTTATTATCTCATGTTCGGGAGAGAAGCTAGACTGCCCATCGACGTCTGCTTTGGAATCTCGCCAAATGTTGAAAGTGAGTCCTCCTATCAACAGTATGTTTCACGGATGAGAAACGAGTTGCAGGACGCATACAAACTTGCATCAGATGCAGCTACAAAAAATCATCTGAAGAACAAAGCACACTATGACCAACGCGTGAGAGATCTGCCTTTGGAGAAGGGAGACAGGGTTCTCATTCAGAATGTTGGAATAAAAGGCAAGCATAAACTGCAGGATCGTTGGAAATCTACACCGTATGTTGTAGTGGAGAAGTTGCCTAACCTGCCTGTTTATAAGGTAAAACCAGAACATGGACCAGGTGTACTCAAAACTCTCCATCGAGACCACCTGTTGCCCATTGGTTATATGGTCAGGATGCCTAATCCATCGGATGACACAGGACACATTAGGAGACCTGTAACCAGAGCACATCGTGCCCAGAAAAGTCAAGCAGTTAAACCGCCTGATCCAGTTGAAGAAAGTGACACAGCATCATCAGATGAAATGTTTGAAGCTGTCCATAATCCTCAAAGTTTTGGCGTGCAAGAGGTCAGGAGACAACTGGCAACGCCACATCAGACTTCGGAAGAGGATGACACTTCTGAGGAGGAACATTTTGAAGCAGCAGAAAGTCAACCAGTAGAAGAAAGTGAAAGTGAAAACTCATCTGGAGATGATACACCTACTTTGCTGGAATATGATGCTCAAGAGACAAATGAGTCTATGGGAGAGCAAGAAGAAGAACGGGAAACAAGTTCACCCTGGCTGTTTTCTCACCCCTGACTGTTTTCTCACCCCTGACTGTCTTCACTACTGGTGAACTAACTGCCCGTTTCTGATTGCCCCACTAACAAACTCATTGGACTCGTGAGTACTAACTGGAACTAAAGTGCACGTATTTTGTTTTATGGCTCAGTTTGAGTGAAGCGGCCATCAGTTTTAGGCCTCACCGCACCCGAACTTCGAATCAGGCCTGCAACAAGCACCGTGCTACAGGTGTAGTGTGGACAGGTTAAAGTGTGTGTGTGTGTGGGCCCACTGTTACAAATTTGGTTTAAATTGAGTAAGTGTGTAGTTTTAATCAAAGTTATTATCAAAGGTTGAAATTCATCCATTTTAAAGGTGTGAGCTGTTGTAACTGAAATAACAGTTGGCACCTAAGAAAGAGGTATTTTGTGTTGATAATCTTTTATTTATAATCCATGTAGTCACATTTACAGTATTTTTGTTTGTTTATTTGAATTCAATTCATTTTATAAAAGTAACTGTTTATTTTATTCATTTCTTTTTGTCTAAATAAATACCCGGTGAGGGATAAATTTGTGTAAAATACAGTTGTGGTGATCCTTATTAGTTAAATTAGAGGGTATCAGGTATCATTACTAGTAGCACTACGAACCCAGGCCCAGTCTCATTGTACTATATACTCTAGCTTTACCATAGCTACGTGGGACCTGGGTTACAATAGCATAAGGGGGTCAAGGCCAATACACCACTATGCATGCAGTGCAAACTGAACAACTTGTTGATTTTCTAGTATAACTCATGAAGCCCTATTTCAAATGAAATGCAGTTATTCACAGGCAATTCAGACAAATAGACATACTTCTTTTCACTAGCTAATGAATATTCACTCTACTTGTTTAGCTTTCTGGCTCACTAAAGAGGAACAACTTGTGAGAGCATATGGGCAAAAGAGAGCTTTTTTATTTTTAACTAGGTGCTAGTTTGCAAAATATAAAATTCACTTTGATCTGTCGAGATCAAGACACAAAGAAAAAGCTCCGGTTATGGTACCTTTGGGTATATATTGTTTGCACTTGGATTATAGAGGGACATTTCAAGAAACTACTTAGTCTAAGCTGTGGGAATGGAGCAGACAGTGCTATGTGACGCTATGTGACGCACTCAGCTGTATTAAAGCTGCTTGTGTATTGTGTGCACTGTATTTCAGTGTGCCATCACCGTGTTTGTAACTGTGTGTCATCCTGTTCTCTAAATAAAATTGCAATGTGCATGTAGTCCTGTCTTGATAAAAGATTTCTATCAGCGTGTCGGCTTGTGTGTGTGAGTGACGTCACATGCGGACAAAGGTCCCGTCCTGTGCAGTCTGTGTGGCAGTCTGTCGGCCAGAGAGACAGAGAGGGGGAGAGAGAGAGAGAGAAGGAGAGAGCCGCGCCAGCGCAGAGAGGCACGGAGACGAAGCAGAGAGCGCAAAGGCTTCGACATCTGGGGGGGAAATTAAAACAACTTGCATTTTTGAAAAAAAAAAACAGCCAAAAAACAACAAAGCCAAAAAACAAACAAAATCGGGACATAGCGGTGGGAAAATTTGACCGATCTTTCGCTTTTTTCCCCTGCACGGACATAAAATGAAAGGGTTACCTGGCTGCATGTTGGATTTTAAATCTTATATTACACCGCTGCGGCGTTGACTTCAGAGTTGCGCAGGCAGAGTCTGTATGAGTTGTCTGTTGGAGGAATTTTAGACACTCCGGATCAAACTTGAGTTGGACATCCAGGAACCAGTCAGGGAGTAAGCTAAACCACCTACCCACTGCTCTCACTGCATGCAGGACACTGTAAGTATTTGATATCTTATCCTCACTGTTGAGAGATTTCCCCACAATTTAACATTTGTTACATAGAGGGGGTACATGTATAGGTTTATGTGGACCGCTGTCTTACTATGCACATATGCCTAAGAGTGGGCATCTTTTCATAATCAAAAGTATACCTGCCACGTAGACGTGGCGATAGAGCAGTCAGTTCAGATAAAGGCTTTGATGGTATTAGCAGATGCCTGGAGCCCCTCAGCGCACCGTTATTTCAACGGGAGACGCGCAGTTGTGCGTCTATAGAGGATGTGAGAACAGGGACGCGGCTGGAATGAAGGACTTGTTGCGCCAGAACTGGGCTCTTTATCAAACTCTGGGATTGGAACAACACTTGTAAATGGGAGTGAGAGGAAAAAAATAAATGGGCGTTGGGTGTAGGAGTTTATAAAGGCTGACATCTGTTTAGATTTTCCACGCTGATCTCGTTATAGAGAATGTGTTCTTATGATCTTATTTTAGATTTCTTTATCGAATCTCTGCGTCTTCCTCCCCCAAATCAAATCTAAACTCATTCTAACCAGCATCGGTTATTCAAGAGAAAACACTTGTGCTGTCAGTGTGAGTATTACAGATGACCAAACCACCAGCAGCATGTTGAAGCATTTCTTGTAGTGCTGGCGTCTTTCCAAAAAAAACGCCTTGACTCTGTCTTCTGCCGGCAGGCGTCAATCCACCCTACTCAAGCCCTAAAAATCAACTGTAACTGTTACAATTTTAGCAGACTTTAGTAACACCTTCAGGAAACAAAGTGATTTAGTTATTTATCGAACACAAGATAGTTAAGTTTAACTGTATGAATTTAGGGTACACAGGCTTCACCTGTTATGGCAGAGCTGGATAGCTCAGAGGTCCAACTTGTAGTCTAAAAGTCAAAAGGAGCAATAATTCCAACATCTTAAGACCAACTGGGATGGAATGCTTGGGTTTTTTTTTTCATCTGACAGGTTCTGATCAGATGCTGTGTTGTTTGTCGGTTAGTCATAATAAGTCATGCATAACAAACTGGAGATAAATATACATGAAACAGCTCTTGTGGGGACCTTGCTGACTGTTATCGGACAAAAGCACGTCTTAAAAGCTCTGTTTCTGTTATTGGCACTGTGAAACACTCTTAATGGAAAAATCTGAATCTCCCTTGAGACCTGTGGGATTTAATTTAGAACAGGTTTGCTCAAACTTTAACTTGCCCAACAATTAAGCTGAGTTAAGATGTTCTTGATGATATAGGGTGAAATAAAGCCATTGAGTTCTGTCCTTACTTGAGTTTTCTTAGTCAAAACTCCCCATGGCAAATTTCCATTTGAAGATGAACCATTTCACATCTATACAAGAGATAAAAAGGCAAAACTGAGTACTTTTATGTTTCCTGAAAGAGCTCTTTTGAGCCACACACATCTGGTTTGTCATCAATCTCCACAGACCTCAGGGATGGATTTCTGTTACCTTAGCCTGGGTCATGCATTCAAATAAACACAGTTGGCTGTGTTCTTGCTTGGAAAGTGACAAAAGACTTCACAGCTGTGTTGCTGATGTGATGCGTTTTACTGGCTCCTTTTAGTTCCTGTTATTGGCAGTTTGCTCATTATATGCCTATTCCTTCTAAAGTATTATTATTGTTTTGAAGAATGTTATACACCCACCAAAAAACCTTGAAACTTGACCAGAAAAGTTTATTAAGTTCATGACCTTCCTTTTTTTTTTATCAAAGTTTCCACATGCACCCAAGATATGTGATAAGACCGCAGGGTTTCTGTGTCATCAAAGTAAATTTGAACTGATTGAGAAGGCCTGCTGTAAGGGAAAAAAGGTGCTTGATACATGCTGTCACTCCCTTTTGATGTTTCCTGATTAACACTAATTTGGGACTCAAATGGTGTCTCTGTGTCTGAGTGGGTGTGTTTATTTGTGTATTCACAAGAGAGAGTGAGACCACTGCTTGCCTACCACCCGCTGTCACAGGTCTCAGGGGGTCTTTGATGCTAAAGAGAGTGATAGGACCATTAGCACTCCTGAAGAGAGATTTCAAATGACTTTGGCTACATCCACACTAATGCGTTTTTGTTTGAAAACGCATAGTTTTCTCTCCGTTTTGGCCTCCCGTCCACACTGAGACGGCATTTTCCCCAAGGAAAACGCAGCGTTTTGAAAACGCTCTCGAAAACGCATACATTTCAAAACGGAGCTGTCCCTTCACAGTGTGGACACTCGAAAGCGCAGACTTTCTTAAACGATGATGCGTTTTAGTCATGTGATGCAGTCATGTGACCAATTAAACAAAGATAGCGGAGGGCATTGTACAGCAGTTGTTTTGATTGCTCTCAATTTTGACAGCCCTAAAAAAGATTACTATCAGTTTGTACATGCTCCAGATAGCTTTTCTTCAAATTCTTTAATTCTCACTCGCATTTGCGCATGCGCAGGACTGGAACGTAAGCGTTTTCAATGTGGACGCATAACTCTGTGAAAACGACTGAAAACGCTAGTGTGGACGCGGAGCGTTTTCAGACGAAAACGCCGTTTTCAAATCCATCCGGGCTAGTGTGGACATAGCCTTTGAAGCGACTTTAATCATGGATTCGACATTCTCGACATTTCTTACAGCCTTAAGCAACCAGAATGAAAGATTTCTCTTTAATAGTTTGTTGAATATCGATTTAGTTTAATTTACTTATTTGATGGATAGTGTGGATAAGTTAGATTTTAATCTGATCATAAAAAAAACTAAGAAACAGGAGATCAATCCAACAAGCACAGTGGTTCAATTATTGTCATATATACAAAATCTCACATTTTTTGGACATTTCTTTTCTGGGAAATTCTTCAGTAGTGTAGTGAGCCACATAGTTCTTATTTACTGAAGTAGGTCAATTTGTTCACTCTCGATATAGCTTATTTAAGTCATTCTCAAGTACTTATTTAAAAAACAACAACTGTATAAATCTGCTTTTTTTCATTTAGCATCATCTTATGGTGACAAAAATAACATTTTCAAGTAGCTGCAGCACTCTGTGACACACAAACCAAATTAATTTAGTGCAACATTTTACAACTTACACAGCTACTGTAGAGTGTTGTAAAATTAAGACATAACTCAGGAAGAGAGAAAGTGAGAGATGATAGTGTCATACAACAAGCAGGAAAAAAAACAGATAAGTGTAAAAGACTTATGATGCCATTGTATTAAAAAAACAGTTGATGATGATTTAAAGTGACAGTGTTTGAGTGCTTTTGTTGAATGATACTTTGTCTATATATAGATTTAGATATATATATATAGGCCACAAACATTTTTATTTACTAGTCAAGTGCACTTAAAATATGGGTAAAGCAAAGAGGCTCAGAGAAGCACCTCAGGTTCTTAGCCCTTAAAGTTGTTGTTGATAGATTTGATGGGGTTACAGAAACATACTCATCTGAAAGTCATTCCAGAGAAGTTGATTCTTTTGACTTCTGACCTCTTTTATCAAACTAAACAGAACTCCCATTGCAAAGACTTACTGTCTACCCTGAAGATGACTGCTTTATGTTTCCCGTCATGAGCTTTGACGTCCATCAAAAGCCTGGGTTCTTGAAACATCTGTGTTGTGATTACTGGAACCCTGATTTTTCCTCCCCCTATTCTAAGGAACTGCATTCCACCCATTCTTACTCCATAGGTCCAGATTGTTTCCACATTAATGCAGCAACCTGCATGAATGTGTGAGCAGTTGCTGCAGAAAAGAAATTTCTTCAAGGGCCATTTAAACAGGGAAGTAATTCAAAATAGGCTGTTCACAGCTATAAAAAATATACACAAGATAGAACAAATAGTTATAAATGGTTTTAGAATCACTGATACTCTCTCTGAAGTTATCTTGACTTTTACTTACATACACATGCATTCTTATTAACATGAATTACAGATATTATGCTCCTCAGTGTCTGCACAGTCTTTGAACATTACTGTGAAGTTAATTAATCAAAATTTAAAAAATGATGCAATAAGGACCTTAAATCTAAAATGAATACAGTAGTTGTGATATATTTTATTATCAGTTACTGTCAATAACATAAACAATATCTGAAAATATCTGTCAAACTTCAGCTTGTTCTTGGTTCTGGGATCAAGTAATTATAGCTGTATATCTCATCTTCTGAAAACATTACCTTTGGCTTTTAATAGATAGACTTTGATAGAATTTGCTCATAACTACTTATTTGGAAGCAGTCGTTTGTTTTTCTCAATGTATGTAGCCATTTCTTCTGTTTATCCACAGGGAGGTTTGTTGCCATCTTCTACCTTTACAATTCATTTTTTTACCTTAGATAAATGGAAAAAAGAAATTGTGGTTTTGACAGGAAACTGACAGCTGTCAGATTAACACTACTGTGGTTGCATGGCTACAGTGATACACAATGAATGTTGTTTTGGGAAGTAAATATATTTGATGTTAATGTAGTTACTGTATATTCTAAACGAACTTCAGATAACGTCATGGCATGCTGGAAACATTCATAAATATTTAAAGAAAGCAGATTTGCACAGTTTGGTAAATCTATACACAAACTGCTCACAACTATCAGTGTGTACATATTATTATGCTGTCATCATGTAAGGTATTGTTTTTTCATTCCACAGTTTAGCTGGTGCTAACAGAAAAGAAAATGGACCCAATATTTACCCAGAAAGATTACATGAATTAGGTTAGAATACACAATCACTTGCACAAAGGGTAGATGTGTATTTACTGCAAAGTGTTTTGGATGCATACAGTACATGTTTTGGCTCTCCAAAATATGGAACAGTCATATTATGTTACCACTTTACTTACAAGTTCTTCTTTATTGAGAGGCAGGCTTTAAGGGCTTAAAAGGATAATGGTCAGTGTGACCAAAAGCCAAGTGTTCATCCATGTGATGTTTACATTGTCAGGAGCTCAACCCACAATGGTGCAGTACTGTATGCTCGTGCTGCCAGACACTGG